AGCCAAGAGCTCCTCTCCAGCTCGGAGCCAAGAGCTCCTCTCCAGCTCGGAGCCAAGAGCTCCTCTCCAGCTCGGAGCCAAGAGCTCCTCTCCAGCTCGTTTTTGGCGGGGTGTAAGCAGACATTTCTGATGGCCCAACAAAGCGCACAGTTGCATCGAAGGGTCTCTCGGCATGAGGCTCAGCAGGCACGCCGCCGCCGCTGCCGGCACTACTCTCACCACTCGAACTCTGAAGATAAGAGCAAGCCTGCCATGATGTCCAGCCAGTAACATGCATGTCGTGTCGTGTCATGTCATGTCGTGTCGTGTCATGTCATGTCATATCGTGTCAGTCACAAAGCACGCCCCCCAGTTCCTGGCACGCGTTGTTCCTCAGCCCCATGCTCACATAGACTCGCATCCCTGCGCCCGGTCCAGGGCGTCGCCCGGGCTTGGCTGCGGAACCAAAAAGGGCGCCTAGACCCCGTAGTTCTTGGCGGCTAGCGTCTTGTCGAGCTGCGCCCACAAGTCGCGCACGAGCATCTTGTCGCGAAAGCGCTTCTCGCCGCGGTCTACGGCTATCGGCGTCACGTTCCAGTCGTGGATCTGCTTGGGCACAATGTCGCCCAGGTACCCCATGTAGAAGCCCTGGTAGTGCTGGAACAAGAGCTCGGGCCGCGAGTACTTGAACTTGGCAAACTGCCACGCCTGGCCCGTGGTGAAAATGGCTATGACGCGGTCCCAGTACTCGGGCTTGGTGAACAAGTCCACGTTGTCCACCACCATGATCAGCTGCGCCGCGCGCACGAAGCGGTCCGTGGGCCGCAGCACCGTGACCACGTTGTTCTCCGCCCGCTTGAGCGCCGGCTCCACGAACCGGCCGTCCTCCAAGAACTCCTTGATGTTGCTCAACGAAAGAAGCGCGGTGGTGGCCGGCGACACGATGATGATGGGCTGTTTCTTGGCCGCGGCCGCGGCCTTGGTGCCCGGGCGCGCCGGCCGCGCCCGCTTCAACTGCGCCGTGAACTTCTTGGCGTCGGAAACGAGGTTTTTGAGCACGATGTTCTTGGTGCCGCGCAACGCGGCGTTGTGGTCGAGCGAGTCCACCTCGTACGCCGCGAGCCGCGCCACGCGGGGGTCGTCCAGCCGCCGTTTTCTCGGCGCAGCGCTGGCCCCGGGCCCTGCGGGCGTTTTTGTGGCCGTGCCGGTCTCCGGGCGGCCGGCGCCAGCGTCGTTCTGTATGAACTTGCACGACTCCGAGTGGCCGCCCAACCACGTGGTCAACTCGGCCTTGGCCAAGAACTTGAAGTCCGCGACCTGGTTCTCCATGCACGCGGTTTTGTACTCGACGATCGACGACTTATCGTGGAGCCAGCAGAACACAACGGCGCGGAGCGTCTGCGGCTCGTTTTCGCAGGTGAAAGACGTCACGCCATCGAGCGGGTACGACGCTGCGGCACTGCCGCCCCCGAGCCGCACGTGCGTGGCGTCGCGGATGGAGGAGGTGGGCGTCTCGGTGTCTGTGACGGTTATCAACTCGATTGCCTGGTTGTCTTTGATAGCCTGTCGCAACTTGACTAGGGCCTCCATCTCGGTGGTTCGAACGGCTTGTTTTTTCTTTTTTTGAGGGGCGAAGGGAGGGCTTTGCGGCGGGAGGAAAGGCCGGAAAAAACAGCGATGTTTTGGGAGCGAGTGCGTGCCTGTTGGTGGGCGGAAGACTAGGTGCTGGGTCTTAATGTTGGGGCTGGTGCGAGAGATTTTCGAGGTGGGTTGAGATCTGGTGCGCCGGCCGGTGTGCATGGAGCGCGCCGTTGGTGTGAGCGGGCTGAGGTATAGAGCTGGTCTGTGAAGCATGGTCGAGCGTGGTTTATAGAGCAGGTTTATAGAGTGGGTCTATGAAGTAGGGTCTATGAAGTTTGGTTTATAAAGTATGGTCTTTGAAGTAGGGTCTATATGTATTATCTTTAAAGTGTGGTTTATAAAGTAGGGTCTATGAAGTAGGGTCTATGAAGTTTGGTTTATAAAGTATGGCCTATGAA